AATCAAAATTTGTGAAGACCCCTTATACCGACCCAAGACTCTTGAAGAAAAAATACAATGCACATAATCCCTTCTCTATAACATTCAGTCATGATGAATGGGATGAGCTGAATTCTTGGCTGGAAGACGATGATGGTCAAGATCCTAAAAGTGTACATTTGAACTTAACAAATGTGCACTCCGTGGATCGTACATTTTTTAGAACCCTTTTGTGCAATGATGCATGGTTGCATAGTGATGTATGTATGATTAATACATTTAATTTTCTTTGGTTTTTTCATCGATTTCACTAACTTTATTTTATACATGCAGCACATCCAAGCCATGGTAGAGGAAATGTTGTGTGGTGTTCAAAAACTATCTCACCCAAAAGTGGCGATATATGGACCAATGTTTGTGGTAATTTTCATTCACTTTCTTATTGTTGTTCGAAAATATGTGATGCAACTTTTTGTGTGTTTAAAAGTAATTCTACATGTTTTGTGTAGTGTCATTTCCTTGGTAAGGGAGTTGGTGATAAATCATGGCCCCATGACAGATACCTTAGAAGACTGGATTGGACACATTTGAATAAGGTCAACTTATTCTATTTTGAATAACCATATATGTAATAACATAAAAATGCTAATATTTTTTGTGTATCAATAGGTGTATTTTATATTGAATGCAAGATTAAAGCACTGGATTCTGATGGAGACTGATATGGTAATGAAAGAGGTTAGAGTTTACGATTATATGTCTTCTTCAAGATCAACTTCCGCTGTAGCAAAAGTGGTTCAAAGGATACCGGCTCTTTTACGCACGGTAAAATGTAGAGTAGATCAAAGAACTTGCGATGAGTGGAAGACTGTTGTTGCAAAAAAAAAGTGCCCCAACAAAAATCTGAGTAAGCTTTGCTTCATTTTCCAGTAACTTTCGCCTTTTTTATGTCATGTGTGCACTTAAATGATTAATTTATGTTGGTGCAGTTCCGGTGTTTGTGGCGGAACACTTGATGGCTGGCTTGCCACTACTACCAAGTTGTAAACACGATCAGGTCCAAGACTTCCGCAACGAATTCACAGTTCGCTTGTGGAGTTTGAGTAAAGGGAATGTACCTAAACATTGTCCTTAAAATCAATGAATTCACGGTGTTTTTCGTTGATAACATTAGTTACCTGGGACATCCTAGGCTAGAAGTGTCTGTTTTATAAATATACCCACAATGTCAAAGATAGCTTGTGTATGAAAATTTTCACATGTCCTTACTAGCATCTTCATATTTTGACAAAAAAATTGTGACACTTAGATACATATAGACACAGACATAAATATACTACTACGCACAAACATTAAATGTCTGTAACCACAATGTTATGCGTGAGTATGTCTGTGACATTTACATACAAAATCGTATTTACACAAAAATAAGGATCCATACCCTTCGAAGCTATGGAATGCCTAAAGACAAGTCCAGGTTTGTAATGGTTAGGTCAAATACCCCATCGTCACCTGAGACATCCCACGCTTGTGGTGCCACTAGAACATGAGGTGATGCCTCACTTGAATGTTGACTTGGAAGTTCTTTTGCTCCGTTGCCTTTCCCTTTTTTGTTGATCTTTCGTTTCTGAGATTTTTTCTCCACTGTTGACTTTAATCGAAGTTTATGAGGGGCGCCCTTCCGCTTGGAACATGCGGGGTCAATGATGGTTGGCAAATTGGGATCATCTATAATTACATCCATCAGGCAGGTGTTTTTTGCCTTCCATGACCGAGATAGAAGCACCTTGTCGCGAATCCATTCTGTTTCCTCATTGCTATGCTCTTCATCATCCGCCACCAAGTTTGCCAATTCTTGAAATTGAGTACACATAATATCATAACGTGTCTGTTCTGGGCTACATGACAAGCCATCATAATCAATTGGAACTCGCGTGTACGTTCGACACACATCTCGGCGCCATCTATCCAATATATACTGATCGGGTAGGAACTTAACCTTGTTCCTGATGAGAACAACAAGACAATGACGACATACAATCCCCTGAAACTCAAATAAATGACAAGTGCATGTCGCAAATTTTTTTGCAGCGTCAAACTGTACCACAAATCGCACCCTTTTATAGAAATCTTTACCAGCTAAATCTTTGCCACAAACATCCTCATCGATTTCGTACTTCATACCATTCTCACAAGAAGAAATGTCACAGTACATCTTACTTGTTAATTCCGTTCGGAGTTCTATGAACTTTGCTGAGGTATAAACTTCTTGCACTTGATTCTCCGTGTGGAATGTTGTCGCGCAAGGCATACTTTATCCAAAAGATTGTGAATCTTCCTGGAATTCATCCTCAACTCTCTTCCTCATTGCACGCTCATACTGGTTAACAAATTGTGTAAGTGTTGTTTTGGAGTGGACGTAGCCAATAAAAAGAGCATTGATGCTCTCGCTCCGTTGGGTAGTAGACATACCTGCCATAAAACCAAAGATTTATGGACCATACACTATTGACATTTCGGTTAGTAAAACAGACACTTACTGTGTATGATATGCATATAATATACATAACACGTTTGTGAAAAAAATAGTTTTCAGTATGAGGAACACACCTGCCCAGAATGATGAATGACAATAACAAGGTACCCAATGTTCGTTTTCTAGAAATAAGCCCGCTAGCCAGGAGTTATTTTCTAGTCCATATTTTGCAATCATATCTTTCCAAGCTTGATCAAATTTCTCTGTTTCGAAGATATCAAAAACAATGTTATTAAATCTCCAAAGTATTTTGTCCTTATCCTCATGCCCGTTAAACTTTTGCGGTGCTTTCTTCATTATATGCCATAAACACCACCGATGTCTAGTACTCAGGAACACAATTTCAATTGCACTTTTCATCGACCTGTCGTGGTCTGTAATGATACCACGTGGTGGGATTCCATCCATGCACTTGAGCCATGTTTGAAATAACCACACAAAAGATTCAGTCTCTTCGCAACAAACTAAGCCACAACCTAGAAATATTGATTGCCCATGGTGGTTAACACCCACAGAACGGCATATCGTACTTGTTTGTGAGGTATATCGTATCGAATGTCACAATGTCTCCGCAGTACTTGTATGCAAGACGAGACCTCTTTTCTGCCCAAAATAGGTTTTTTAACTTTGAGTCGTCATCAAGGTCACTGCTAAAAAAAACCCATCACTTTTAGCTTGCATTGTACAAAAGTATGCTTGTATGGCCATGGCATCCCCTGCACAAAGCTTCACCCTTCGCACTTGCTCTACGTAGTTCCTACAATCCTTTTCGATAATGGACAATTTATCGTACCCTCCTGCTTCAACCACTGCTGAGTTAAAGCTCTTGTGAAGGGGGATTCCTGCTGTATCATTCATCTCGAGCCTTCTTTTTATGTGGTCAGGCAACTTCCTGTTACAACGCCACATCCGTGACTTTGATGGACTAATGTCATGATTATGTTCCGAATTTGGCACTATAATAGTAAACACACCTTCATCATCACATGTTGCCGTTATTCGGGCTGTGCAACCACAATTGGATCGGGCTTGTGGCTTTAGACAATTCTTAGATCGGCTCACCCTATTCCCTTCTCTACCACATGAGATTGTGATAGAACGTATTGTTCCATGACATCCCCTCCTCAAACTTCTCTTTTTAATGGGAAACCCCATTCCCTTTGCATAAGTATGGTAGAATTCATATATGGCATCATAATTCGAAAACTTCATCCCAACATCAGGGACAAGGCTTACAGGGACTAGGAGTTCAGCACTTCTTCGAACATTGCCTTCACTTTCATTCTCTTCATGTGTGGACAAGTTACCCAC